ATTATCTCACTTTTCCATCCTTAAAATCCACTTTTATTATTTAGAGTTTAGCAATGTTATCACCCACACTTAGTTTTCTACAGCTACTGTCACATTGTCGTTTACAGCTACAGTCAAAAACTTCATATTCTTGTTTGTATAGATCATTTTGTATAGATCATTTTTATATATTTGTTGTTAGGCTGAGATAATCCTTCACAAATCTGAGGATTTTGATAATATTGAATTCCAAACAAGCAACGACATTGCGGACAAATTCAACGAGGTTTATGTTAGCAAGGATCAGGTAAGTTATATTTGTTATCATTACTGGTAATGTCAGTAATAACTTTAATTCATTTGTATGTCGTCATCATGGTCTTAATCATTATATTCATAAATCATTGGTTAAAGCAGTTTGTGCAGCGGTTTCCAATTTGCTTATTGAACTTCAGGAGTTCAAACCACACACTGACCATAATTTAGCCGGTCATGCTTAGATATACCCCAACTTGCATCATATTATTGTTTCTTATTCTTCCTGCAGGTCGTGAGAACAGCTATTCCTGCCGGAGGTGGTGTGTCAGTTTCTTTTCCCATAATTCCCAAGGAATTGAAGTTGATGGACATTCATGTGTCGGCGCAGTCATCAACCGCCAGAGATAGTGTCATTAGACAGCTTTTGGTTGAGGTAATTAGCAGATTCAAGGGAGGTCCTCCTCACCCTAATGGAATTTTAAAATTATGGCGAAAACAAGAAAATTATATTGTGCAATTTATTTATAGGTGAAATAGGCATGACATTTTGTACCTTAGCCTTAACCATGGGGGTGGGGGTGGGGGAGACTTAAGGTTGTCTAGACCCTTTGTAAATGTCCCTCTCTGAGCCCCCCACCACCTATTTTGAATTCCTGGATCTAACACTGCATATATATTAGGTATTCCTTAAAGTATTTCATAATCTCTGAGAATATTTATTTTGTAAAATTCTATATACAGTATTGCAATGATATTTTAGCTGTTTTAAAAGTTTGACAACATATGTTTTTAATTGCTAGCCCGAGGGAGTTATGAAGTCGTACACTGATCCAGACCTCATCGATTTATCAGGCGACATGTTTACAAAATCGTTTCTTGTTGATCTTCCCCCATCTGGTCTCGTTGAGGGCTCTGTTCATGTAATGCTCTCAGCCACAGGTGAGAAGAAAATATGTTTTTATTCAGTCTATAAGGTATGTGATTTACAAATATTACAAAAAAAAAATATTAATAAAATATACACAATGGTCCTAATAGAAATTTGGGCTGGACTTAAAAACAGTCACAGGTGTGAACAGTGGTTACGTTGTCAAACATTTACAAAGAGCTTTTGTTGACGGTTGTTCAAGCTTTGTACGGCACTGTGTGAATCTGAATAAATACTAAGGGAGGACCCTACTGGGGTATATGCGCCAGTGTGCGTCATCGATGTGCAAGCTATTTGGTGTTATTTATTTATCTATGATTTTATTTATTCAAAATATTTATTATATGATTTTTTGTATTTAAGTAAAGGTATACAATTTGGTTTATTGCTTTAAGAGGGGGATCCAACAACTGATGTCGAGGCAGTGTCGCTTTCACTAGTGCGTATACGTAGCAACACGCTGGCACATTTGATGTAACAGCAGCTTCTATAGTGGCCTAGTACCTCAGGTCTACTGCTGTTAGACTGTGACAGAGAACGATGCTGCCCTGTGTCAGGGAGTAGGAATCTTAAAAAAAAACAAAAAAAAACACAAACACAAACATGTTTTCTTTGTAATTTCTTCCATTCTTCTTCCTTTTTTTTTTTTTTATTATTTGTAAGGAAGTATTGACCCTGTAACATTTAAACCTATCACTTGACAATATTGACTTTTGGGTCTAATATTGACTTTAAAATATTGACTGTGTGTCCACAGTCTATAGTATTATGATGTATTGTGGAGAGTGCTATCTAGATTATTATAATCTTTTATTATTGTATTATCCCATTATTATTTTATGCTGAATATATTTAAATTATTCTATTTTAATGTTATTATTATATGAAATTTTTCAAAATTAATGTTTCACTTCGTAAGTTTTTATTATTATTGTAAATTTGTTTTTGCTTTTGTTATTATTTTACATGCAAATTATGAAATATAATAAAATCTTATGAAGTTAGGAAAATACAGGATATTATTAATTTTTACAATTCTCTTCTGCATTTAGTTTCTTCTAATTGATATTTTGGTGTTCCTTTTAGGTGACATAATGGGCCCTACTATGAGCGGATTGGATGAGCTGCTGCGTGTGCCCTCGGGCTGTGGGGAGCAGAACATGATAGGCTTCGCTCCAGATGTCTTCATCTATGATTACCTCGTAAACACAAACCAGAATAATCTTGAGATAAAGGAAAAGGCTCTCCGCTATATGAACATTGGTAAATTCACATCCGATTATTCATTTTACCAGGTCAAAAACAACATACATATCCGTACTAAGGAGGCTTATAGATATTGAAAATGAGGGAGGCATTAAGAGTTATGTTAATATTATAAAATGCCCCAATTATTATTATTATTATTATTATTATTATTTTGTTATTTATAATAATGATTATTTTACTGCTATTGTCAGTGTTTTTTTAATCACTCATTGTCATTGTTGCCATAGCCACCCTCCCCATCAGTATTATATTGGATGAAGATCCATATTTCTTTATCACTGCATCAATTTTTTACCAGAATTATCATTGTTTTTGTTGTTATTATTTTATGTTTCTTATTATAAATTTTATAATATTTTAATTACAAAATGGAAAAAGGTTACACGAAAGGTAACTCTTTTCTATTTTTTATATTATAACATGACAGAGTCAGATAATATTTTCCTGGCTAATAATTTTTGTTATGTTATTATTGGTAGTATTGTCGTTTTTAATTGATGCGTGGGACTATAACCAGTAAGATAGCATGTTCACTACAATTTAAAATATCTTGACCACCAAAAATCTACCGTCTGCACTCTTTTTTTTCCAGGCTACCAGAAGGAGCTCACTTACCAGCACAAGGATGGCTCTTTCAGTGCCTTTGGTGACAACGATCCCTCTGGCAGTACTTGGCTGACAGCCTTTGTGGTCAAATCATTTGTCCAGGCTCAGGAGTTCATTTTCATTGATTACAAACTTGTGGAGAAGGCTGTTATTTGGATACTGATGCAACAGAATAATGATGGATCATTCCGGGAACCAGGAAAGATCTGTCACAGAGATATGCAGGTTAGACAATGCCTAGTCTATTTCCTGGATTCGACTAATTGCCATTGTTCCTTTAGAACATCCTTCATAAAAATAGAACTGTCTGATTCTCCCATTTGATAAACAATAACAGAGCATGTAACTGAGTCTGAACAATCAGACAGCTCTATTTTTGTTGTAGGGGTGTTCTTAAACAAACAGTGGCAATTAGTTTGATGATCCTGGGAATTATCTCACTCATAGACTACCACCATTAATTCTGATTAGTTTAATTTGCCTTTATAATGAAACTCTGCCTTTCATTCTGGACTAATACATATTCTCTTACAGGGTGGTTTATCTGGACCAGTTACCCTTACAGCATATGTGTTGGTGGCCTTGCAAGAAGCTAAGCATGGGAATGGATTCTCTCAGGTAAGTCTGAAGCCAGATTTATCAACTTCCTCATTTGCAACATTGTATTTATTGTTTCTTGTATTTTCATTTGTAGTATACTATTTTATTTTGGGCCCTCAACTGTAAGCATCCAAATCTTAGCTTACACATCATCTAAATACTTACGTTGAAGTGAACTTCTGATAATCGCTATTAACACACATCCAGCCAAATTACAAATAATTTTTTCATTTTTGATGCTGTACCAAATGTCATGCTTGACATTTTCTGCTATATGAATTTAATCTTGCCATATGTTTCTCGGAAAGGCCTATGGCATTTTAAATTTTTTTATATTTTATTTTTATTTGCTCCTTTACTCAGTATTTTGCTCTATTCTAAAGATCTTATAAAAGTTTTGCTAAATTAGTTTTGCCTGATTAACAAAATTTATTTAATCAGTATTTTAAATGTGATGATTGGTGTGTTAATGAGAAATTTAAAAGCACCAGAGAGCTAAAACTTGAAATATTGTAAGAATATAATAGTAAATGTATTTCTTCATTGCAGACTACATTGGACTTGCTTGGCAGTTCTGTTGATAATGCTGCATCCTACATTAACTCTGAGTTATCCAACTTCAGATCTGACCCATATGTATTGGCTATCACGACCTATGCCCTTACATTAAGCAACCATGCAAATAAAGATGGGTTTCTTGCTGCATTAGAAGAACTAGCAATTGTTGAAGGTAACCTCAAATTTTCACTCATAATTATAAAGCTGTAGTCTATGTTCAAATACTTTTGAAAGCCAGAGTGGTATTTTAGAGGTGGATGTGAGGATTAGCACTTTTTCATGCTGATTTGTGTCCAAATCTCATGACGGTTGTGACATCGATCCATTGTGTTGCACATACTTATATTATGCCTGTTACATGCGGCCACCTGCAAGTGCCATGTGGTTTTGGCCATTAATAATAATGATATGTTGGACTTATATAGCGCTTAATGCCAACAAAGCCTCTAACCACTTTAGCATTATTACCCCTGGTCATTGGATCAAGCACATATGGAACCCATACACAGCTTTCCGTTAAATGTTGCAGCTGTAATCAGCGCATATTGTGTTTTAGCCTACCAGGTACCCACTTGTATTTGCTGGATGAATAGAGGCAACTGAAGGTAAAGTGCCTTGCCTTGTCTTGCGAAATGCACATCGAGAGTTTGAACCTTTAACCTCAAGGTTGAGAAGCAGAACCCCAAGCACGGTCCCCTGTTTTGTATTGCTTAGCTGTTGTGTGGGGTTTGTCAGTTGACGGACAGTTTATCTTCATCTTGGCTGTTTTCAGCCTCAGTGGTGGCCCCAGAAATTCACCAAGAAGGAGCAGGGAGACAGGAGTGATAGGGGATTATACTCTCCCTGCTTCCTCCAGCACAGCAACACCTCAGTTTTCCCATCCATAGATGGGATACATCTAATTGATATTAATTTGTATTGGTGATTGTTTCTGTAGATGGTATGAAACATTGGAGCCGTCAAGATGTAGTTGAAGAAGTTGTCCCTGATGTAGGGCGGGAAATATGGTTTCCACCGTATCATACACCACCCTCATCTGATATTGAAATGACAGCCTACGGACTTCTCGTTTATCTGGCTCGTGATGATATCCTGTCAGGATCATCTGTTTCCAAATGGTTGACTAAACAACGAAGTGAACTTGGTGGATATTCATCAACGCAGGTAAGATATTTTTAATATTTATATACAGTATAGATTTGTTTCTATTTTGAACAATAAGAAAATATTCCCACCAAATAATATAAGTGAGAGGTACCGTGTAAAGACAACTTGATTTCTTGCTTTGAACAAGGTATTCATTCGTAGAAGTCTTATGAAGATAAGTCTATTTAATACTGACTTTAGAGGCTCGAGACCAGGACATATCATACCAACTTTAAATTGACAAAGATAGAAAAATGTTAAATACAGACAATGTATACATAATAGACCTTGGCCTTATGCCTAATCCAGCTAGAATACGTACCATTTTTAAGCCAAGTGGAGTGATAAATGTATGCACAAGTATGTTATCTAGTCAAATAAATTTAACGTAAATATGCAAGAAGTAGAGAAAGAAAGAAGAACAGGGAAGAAACTCGGAGTGGCGCTTAATTGTTTACCAAAAGTGTTATATAATAATGATAATAGCTCATTATTACATTTCACGTGTTTGCAGAAAATTTGGGACACAAGGTGTGAAGCCTACACGTTTCATAATTACAAGTTTGACCGATGATTTATATTTGTAAACATTGTTGAAAAAAATTCAGTACAATTGGTTTATTACCATGTTTTTGTTTACACCAGGACACTGTTGTAGCTCTGCAAGCTTTAGCATCTTATGCAGGTGAAATGAGTACGAACAGAGGGGAAGTTGCAATAGCTGTAACAGCAACGGCTGATCCCTCTTACAAGCATAATATAACTATTAACAGTGAGAATGCGCTTGTTTTCCAGCAGTTGGAGGTAACATGTGTTCTTTATATATAAAAATTGGTTAAGATAAGCCTACTGTATATGACCATGGATTTGTAGATGTAAAGAGGAAATACGTTTAAAAAACCTTAAAATACCTTAAAATAGCACAGCCCAAAATTGCCTATTTTCTGTATAGGCAACAGTGAATGTAACCTCCAGGACTTCAACAGAGCTTCTCCCCAGGACCCGACACAACACAATAAACATACATTAATTATCATTACTATCTGTTAGCTTTTTCCACTATTGTGATGCAATGTGAAAATGCTTTATATTTGCTATAACATTTTTTTTTTCTTGTTTCTTATTCTGTATCGTTGTTTTGCACAATTTGTTTAATTATGACAATGAATCATTGTCTTATTTAGATCCCAGTGACATCTGGCTCAGTTGATATAACAGTATCTGGCAGTGGTTCCGTTCTGGTTCAGTTCACAGTTTCCTACAACATGGAGGAGGTTGACCAGGTGCCAGCATTTAATGTCGTGGTAACAGTGGTTGACGACGATCCAAACAACATCCAAGTTGAAGTTTGTGGACAGTAAGTCTTAAGTCAAGGCACATAATGTTGTGTACAACAGTTGTATGACTGATGGCAGATGAACCCATCTCTGTTCTTTATAAGCGCCTGACGATGCGAAGGCGCCTGCTAGTTGTCGGTGGTAGTCTGAGAGTAGGTCATCATTAATGAGAGTCTGTTGCGTGTGCGTTGTGTTCTGTATGAAATCATGTCAGCCGCCAGCTGTAGGGTGTAGCGTGTGCCTTTCATCAGTGCACTCGGCAAAAGCTCACGTAGCAATAATAATTTCAAAAGAAAATTCTACAATACAGTAAACCCTCAAATTCGAAACACCTAATTCCAAGACCCCACCAATTCGAGAGTACTTTATTAAAGAACAAAATAACAATCTTTATTCTATTAACAATACGCTAACCAACTATGTGGAGACTGAACCCGGAGATCAGCCGCAATGGTGGTCTCGAATTGGAAAGCGAACTATTTCAATTATGAAAATAAAGCCCCTTCAGACAGACCTGCAATATTGCGGTAAGCACGCCGGCATGGGTTTCTGTCTGAAAGAGTTGATACGCCAATACTGTAAAACCCCGAATTGAAGCCCAGGCCCAGGATTTATCAATCTCAGCTTAGCAAATGTCTTAAGTAAAAAAAGTTAAGATGTTCCTAAGCAAATATCTTAAGCTAATTTGTCAAACCATCTTAGCAAAATCTTGGCTTAAAAATCGTCAAAGATGGCGCATGCGTGCAATCGACTTTCTAATTTTAAGCATTTTTAAGCTAAGCAATATTGATAAATTTGACTTAGTAAAAAAAAATGGACTTAAGACGAATTTAAGCTGATTTCTAGTTTGATAAATCTGGCCCCTGGGCTTCTTCTTTTCTTTGCGAACTTTGGATGGGCTTCATTTCAAGATGGGCTTCTTTTCAAGATGGGCTTCTTTTCGAGACTACTTTTGCAAAGTAAAGAGGGGGGGCTTCTTTTCAAAATGATTGCTGTGAATTTTGTGAATTTGTACTGTAAAACAATAAATAAGGCCACTGTAACATCAATCAGTATCATGGAGTGTATTTAACTGGCATTAAATCACCTAAACTACTGTATAAACCAAGCTTGTATTTAATTTATTTTGTTTTTTAAAATTCATACACACGTGTATGTGATTGTAATATCTTGAAAAAAAAAAACCTATGCTATCTTGAAAAGAAGCCCATTTTTGAGATGGGCTTCTTTTCAAGGCTAATTTTCCAAACTAAATAGGGGGGCTTCAATTCGAGGTTTTACGATATGCCGACTTTCTTTAGGCCACCTTGCACCCTAGTAATATTGCTGCAACATTGTGGTAACGGTTACTGGCTTTCTCTATCTGGTCTACTCGATATTGCGGAAATCAAGCCAGTGTGCATTTATACATAAACAAACAAGGTTAAAGTCGAAAACAATTGCCAATATTACACCATTCTATAGGACCCTTTCAGACAGAAAAGCGTAAGATTACTGCAATATTGCGGTAAGAAAGGGGCTGTGTGAAAGGGTGTAGACCGGTTATTATGCTGGCATGCTTACCGCAATATTGCAGCAACGTCTATCTGAAAGGGGCTTACGAAATGTATACATTTCTTTATTTTAAAAATAGCAAAGATACCTATTGTTTGAATATAGCCAAATTGGATTTTAATTTTTTACACAACTGCAAGTCATTTAGTTTTTTCCCTAAGTTTATATACATCTATATAATCACTATGTGCCACTGAAACTGAAAACTACCATTTAACAACTGTTGATATAATATAAGTTGATGTATAGCAACAGTTTCCTTAGCAAAAGTTCCCATAATAAATTAGCAATCAGCAGCAGATGGTTAAATTTTTAAGTATGTGCATAATTTTAGGCAAGCAACATCCTTTTGTCAGCGGTATAATGTTACTGAACAAAATCTTTAACACCTATTAATTTATATTTATACATTTTGTGCTTTTATTAGGTATTTGAAGGAGGAAGAGAGCGGGATGTCAATCATGGAAGTCGGTATCCCATCAGGCTTCGATGTGGATGAGGACAAATTGAAGGAGGAACTGTCGAAGATTGTTACTCTGCAAAAGTATGAGCTGCAGACAAGATATGTTAACCTATATCTTGATGAGGTAACAGCATCTCCTCTAGAAACAGTTTTTGCTTAAAGTCAGGCGCCGGAGGAAAAAAAAATGTTTGATATGTTGTAGCACTGATTTTTCTAAGACAGAAAAAAAGTTGTCTGATGAAAAACTGGGGAACTGTAAATTAGATACAGATTTTTGAATATTTAAAAACTGGGGGAAAAGGGGACGTAACCGCCCTTTATTACATTGAAACCCAATCAATTGACTCAATAATTTAAGTATTGTATTTTTTTTAAGGTTAAAAACCTATGTTATTCTACAAGAAGACACTGTACTTCTTTACAGGTCTGTCAGACAGTCAGAGTAGCACCATCCAGCTTTATTTCATATTCCCCAATTTTCCCAATTTTAAATAGATTTCCATTAACGTTGATACAACAGTACAGTATATCATCTTCATATAGCATTACTTTTTTCTTCTCTTAATTCCAGATTGCATACGAACATAGGACTTGTGTTCGTATCACCGCCTTCAGATCAAATATTGTGTCAAACATCAAGCCCAGCCCTGTGAAAGTGTACAACTATTATCAGCCAGGTAAGAATAATTATGTAATAATAATAATAATAATAATAATAATAATAATAATAATAATAATAATATCTTAATTTATCTATATTTATTTTTATTTTTTATTAATTTATGTTAAAAACACTTAGAAAACAATACAAGACTGCAAACAATCCAAGTTTACAATATCGTGGTTGAAAATATTATACCAGAAATATACACTGTTAAAATCTAAAATCTTATTTTAAAATAAATGTTGGAGAGTCCATATTTAAAAATGTAATTAGGCTTAAGTGTTACCTGCCTGAGTTCAATCATATTCTTATTCAACAGCTTTACCATGCAACTGAGGGATAGTTCGGAAATTATATTTTTATGTTGAGCCAATTTTTAGTTTTTGCTTTAGCAATGGTTTCAGCAACTGTTTTGTCACTTTCTTCATGGTAATAAGCCCTTGGATGAATTGGGTCATTCACACTTTCATTGACTTTCTGTGCAGTCTGTCTTTCCACCAGGATGATATATAGTTTGGATAGGATAAGATAAGAATATTTTTTTCCTTCCGAAGAGTGTACTACAGTACATTATTCAATGTAAATGTGGGTCATATTACACAAAGGACTTTTATGTCTCATCTTAATTATTATAATTCAGGGTTGTCCTTGTAGAAAACTAAGGGTGGGTGATAAGATTGGTAAACTCTAATTAACAAGAGTGGATTTTAAGGATGGTCAAGTAGGTTAATAAAGGTGGTTGGAGAGCCATGAAATTTCCTTTTGATTGGGAAAAAAACTTCAACGCTGGGTGGCCCCCGCCCACCATAACTACAACCCTAATTTTTTAAAATTTATATATTGTCATTTAATCGCCCAACGTGTAATAGCAACAGCTCTGTGGTAAGCTGTCATAACTTTTATTTCAGCCCTCCAGCTGAATACACAAAGAGAGAGCAGCGATGGGAATTGAACCAGGAACCCGGATGATCTCCATGGGTCAGTGCACACACAGTGGCTACCACCAGATTAGCCGACTGAACTAAGCAGTGCTCACTGTTCACATCTTAAGCCCTGTCCAGACTATCAAATTTCATTTGACAAAAACATGTGACATGCCTAAATATGGTCATGATAAAATCACATCATGGCCATATATAAGCACATCTTGACTATATATGGGCACATCTTGACTATATATGGGCATAGAACAGGTTTGGGAATGCCCCCGCGGAATTTTTGTTTTCTAGACGCCCGAAAATAACCTGTAAGGCGTTTTTGGGCAAAAAGTTGGGTTTTTTTTTTTTGTTTTTTTTTTTTTACACTTTCCAAATTGGGGCCGGGGCTTCTTCCCCCCCCCAATCCACCCCTGCGTAACTAACATCAATACCATTGAAATAAGAGCTGCGTACACAATTTCAATTCTATTCCTGTATAATTTGTTTTCTTTTTCTTTTGCTAGATGAACAAATGACCATGTTTTACACGTCAGACACTCTGATGAATTCCAATATCAGAGAATTATGTGGCAACTGTGGAGAGGTCGTGTCCCTGTCTGTCGTAGATGGAGAAACTACCAAAAAGCCTTCTTCTGGGATGCCTCATTTAAGCCCAAACCCTCTCATTAATATCATTGCACTCATTCTGAGCTGTTTCCTCACTGGGTTTATGCTGGGCGTTAACTACCATGTGTAAATTATTGATAGCTACTATCAGTTAAACACTATAGCTTTATAAATAGGGATAATTAACAGAGGATTTGAGATCACTCAAGCTACGGTCACACCAGAGCCTAAAGTTTGGCTTGACTCAGTACAGTTTATGATCTCATGCGTGGCTTAAAAATGTTCAGTTTCCAATTTGGTTAACTCAGATAGTAGAAATCCTTGAGCATAAACATAACACCATTTTGGTCACACACTTCTCTGAGAAAAGTACAATGGCAAGTTCTAGGTGAACCCAGGTCAACCTGTACCATTGCTTGGGTTGAGCTGTCTGGGTTAAGAACAGTTACAATCCAGGCATCAGTCAACCCTGCTTAGTTCAGATTATGAGTTTACTAAAGTCAAGTCAGACTTGAGGCTGTAATGTGATTGTAGCCTCTCTGTTATCAATGCTTCTCTAGCTACTTAGGCCTTCATTTTACAGTATAGGTATAAGGTATAAGTTTTTTATATTAGGTATCATTGGTTGGTACATATAATATAATTATATTACTGTTTCAAAATACATTCCAAATGGTAAAGGATCTTTTTAGCCATACATAATAATAAATATATAAATCATAATTATTGAGCTGGTTTTGTATTGTCTCGTGCAAAGCAGAAGTTGGAACAATCATTTATTATTATTATTATTATTATTATTATTATTATTATTATTATTATTATTATTTTAATAATATCAAAATTATTATATTACTTATTAGCAATCATGTTAGGTATATATTTTATTTTAATAATAATCTGTATTAATAATAGCGATAGTGACATCAATTATAATAATAATAATGTTTTTCAACATTCAAAGCAAAAGTCTGAACAATCATTTATTATTGTTATTAAAATATTGACATTATTAAATTACTTATTATCAATCATGTTAGGTTTTATAGCGATAATTTGATGTTTAAATAATAATCTGTATTAATAATAATGATGAAAAATAGTTTTTAATGACAGTGATAGAGACAAGAATAATGTTTTTAAAAAAAGTTAATAATTTGGACTATAAGAAATATTAATAATCTGATATTTTTTTATTGTGAATTTGTCCCTGAAATATCTTCTCCCTTTGGTCAGTAATTTTTTGATGTTTATTTATGAGCCAAATAAGAATGCATATATGTATTTGAATGTTGCACTGGAATATGGAATATACTATTATTAGAAATATATTGTAAATACTGTAGAATTTTTATTTTGGAATATTTAAATAATCTATTCAGGTGCCTTCTCACACATGTTGCAATGTATTCATTTCTATTCTAATCTAATGATTTGTAATAATTATATATTAAATATTATATAGAATTTTTTTCTCAATGGAAACAGAATGAGTTTATTAAGATATAAAGAAAATAAAGAATTCCAAAAATGCAAATTTTACGAGTCTTTTAATAACATTGTAGTAATAATAATTAGTGATTTTATCAATACTTCATGATTGGTATTAATTTATAAATTGTTAAATGTGGTATGTGGATCATTATGTTTACATGAATTTGCTTTCGTAATAAAGTTCTTGGCATTTGTGAAAAACAAAATATTAGTATTCTTTATAGTGTTTTGGTTCATAAATGTGATATGCAAAAAAAAAAAATCACCAAGAAGTCATATGCAGTTCTTGATGTCCATATATATATATCTGTCTCTTATACACATCTAGATGTGTATAAGAGACAGCACCAGAGCCTAAAGTTTGGCTTGACTCAGTACAGTTTATGATCTCATGCGTGGCTTAAAAATGTTCAGTTTCCAATTTGGTTAACTCAGAATCACCCTATTAAAGAATAAAAACCGATGAGGGAGGGAGGGAGGTTTATTTATTTATTTTTTTAATAATAACTTTAATGGAGATTCGGGTACAACGAGTTTGTGTGACTTCCGAGAGATGGTATATTAAGAAACAATAACAGCATACAGTTACTCTAAATCCATTCTAAAACACTTAAAATAAAACAATATTACATTTACTGTACTTTTATTAATTTCTTTCTAAATAGTGATATTTTAAAGATCACTTTTAGTGCTGGTCTTTTTTAGTGGAATTCTTAGTTCCTAAGACCACTTAAACCTCGTCCCAAAAGTGGTCTTTAATTGGAAGGAGACCTTCATACCTACATCATGGAAATCTATTAACAATCATATTAGTCATTGGATTTATTATGATGACTAAAATATTTTCGAAACGCTTGTATTTATGAAACTGGTCACTGTAAATGGTGACATCTGATTGGCCAAAACTTGAATGTAATTAAGCCTGGAGAGATACAAGTGAAATTGCAACAACATTAGTAGTACCTTTTTAGTTAGCTGAGAGCAAGACTCCAACTATCTAAGGCCTATGGAGATAAGCACCCATCAATAACGGTTAATGTTTCTGTACCTTTTTGTGTTTATGCTACTTTAACTGAATTTGCAACTGTCTGGTAAGTACTCTATTAATTATTGGAATACTTAAGTGAAAAACAGGTCGTCGGGCTCACTGATAGAAACGTGTTACTCTGATGAGACTATACCGTTGCCAATCAAGATCAAATGATTTGTTATTAATATATCAACTGGACCCTCATATGTAGTTGTACAACTGCTGTAGAAGGTGCATATTCATTAATACAAAATAATGTATTCACTCATATCAATACAATAATACAATTTGTGTGCCGGAAACCATATCTTGTTAATAGTTCCGGTTCTACTAAGTAAACAAATTAAACAATATGGTTGAATAATGCAAACAAGGAAAGTTAAATTTCAACAAATAACATCAATATTAAAATTACAGTAATTTTAACAAAGGTGATCATAATCGTGATACTGTATTAAAGGTATATGTATGGTCCCAGTTTATAAATGTTTCTTTCAGCCGTTTTGAATGTGGAAATTTGAGTGATATTTATAATAGAATTAGGTAGTATAGCCAAAATTCTGTGTTTTGTCGTTTTCTGAGCCTACCTGATGAAAGATGGAAAACGATGACTGATTTGTGAGTTCATTATAAAGAGTTGTGAAATCCCCTGTTGATAATTGAACTGGCCTTTTCTGAAGTAAATCTTTAAAATATATAGATATATTATATATATGTATGTATTCGTTAACGCTGTTAAATTATATATCTGCGACCTCTCGCTGTCATAACCATTAGACCACAGAGGCTTCATGGTTGAACAGATTCAAATAAAGTAAAAACTTCAATGGGATTATCCTAAAATATAGGTAGACACCGAATTGAGAAGCGTATGCTCCGTAAACTGCTTTTTATAGGAGGGCTTATGAGATGATACACTAAAAAAAAAAAGTAATAAAAAATAAATAAATTAATTAAAAAACTAGGCCGATATTATTTAAAAAATGATTTTTTGTTTTCTCTACAAAGCAATAATATGGCTTTCAAAGCTGTCCCGATGATGATAACGTTACTTTTAGTGACTGTTGGATTTTTCCACTTTACCTACGGGTAAGTTCATTTCCATTTTTACGTGTTACTTGTGTTGCTAGCTGTCGCATGTTGAAGACACTTTTTGCGTCATTGACCTCATTTGACCCTACATGATTGTAATGGGAGAGACCATTAGTCATTATATATTTTATTTAGCTCCTTAGGCAAAAATGTTATCTCTTCCCTAGCAATAAAAGTGTTTATTATGTAATGTTGAACGCTTTGTTGTTTTTTAGTTGGAATAAAACACCTTTCCGCAACCTATTACATTGGCAGCGACTCATACTTAAAAGGAATGACAACAAACGAAGCCAAAACTAGACTTGCTATGTTTGTTTGTACAACAGAAAATAGGACCTTTTCCCATTGGTATAATGAGAAATGAAGTTGAAATTGCAACCAAAAAAAAAAAGTCATTAAAAGTTATAAAGTAAAAGAAAAATAAAATAATACACGAAATATAAAAAAAAACTTATAGTACTAAAAACAAATAAGGAACTAACAAGAATAGAGAATCAAGTTTACAACTAACGCGACGTTACTGAGACTCCAACTACTGCTGCTGCAATGGTAATATAATAGCAAGGTACATTGAGACTCATTTATAACCATTGCGCACTATGAATCAATCTGATGCCTATGCATTTTTTGTTCATAGCGATTCATAATAATTACGGTGGTTTTGTGTTTAACCTAGCTGAAGCTGGTTTAAACGCTTTAGAAAACGCAAATTTCGTTATTTAATTTAATCAACTGTCAAAAAAAATCTTTAAATGGTCCTCATATCCACACTCTAACTTCGGATCGTCACCAAAATTTGATTATTTCTTCATTGGCCCATGAAAAACTATTCTGCAAAGTTTCATTTTGATCCATTTATAACTGTTACGTAAGCATTTTAAATTACCCTCAAATTCACACCTGAATTTGGATCGTCACTAACACCTGATAATTTCTTCCTTGTAACTTGAGTAAACTTTCCCGAAAATTTCATTCAGATCAGTTCATTAGTTTTTGAAATATCTAGTCTGGCACTTTTCATTTGAATGGTCCTCGTAGTTAAACCCTACGCCGGATTGTCACAAAAAATTTAATTGTACACAGAAAAAAATATTCTGAAGATTTTCATTTAGACTCACTGATTATCCACACCCTAGGCCGGATCGTCACAAAAATTTGATCATTCCTTTATTGTACCATGATAAACTATTACTTTTACCAATTGATTAGGTTTTTGAGATATTTAGGTCTGTGATGTCAGAAGTTTAAATGACCCTAAAATTTACACCCTAAATTGGATCGTCACCAAAACAAAATAATTTCTTCCTTGTAACTTAGTTATTTTTCCCAAACGGCTTATTCAGATCAGACCTGTTTTTGAAATATCTGGTGTAGAGTGTTTGCCCTTAAATCTCTTTAATTGGTCCTCACATCCACACCTCACTTTAGATTGACACTAAATATTAGGAGGCACATCCTTGATATACGGTCTATGCTTCGACAAGGTTTGGAAAAGAACTAATCATGGAAAGTGACCAAAGTGCGGGCTGGAATAACCCAATTCTAAAAGATACGGAAAGAAGTATGTAAGAAAAAGAAAGACATAACAAGAACAACGGCGTTTTCATCTAGCGCTGGGAAAAGCCATTTAGGCCTACAGCCAACAAACGTGCAAAATTGTGGCATATGCTTCAGTTGGCTAATTTCTAAAGCGCGCGTTTATTGCTGCAATAACATTCTATCAAAACATTTACCTTAGTTACGACAACTTCAAAGTTTTATTTTTGTTTATTTCAAGGTGATTTGGCTTTCAAATAGGAATTATAACGACAATTTTCTCGTCAACAAAATGTGTTAATGTCTTTCAATAACCCATAACTGGCAGCAAATCAGAGCAGACTTTTTCGTCGATTTTTTTTGTCATGTCTTATTGAATAATTAGATGCGGTAACTTATGTGATCTGTTATATTAGTGTTTAAAAGTGATATAATTTCATTTTTTAAGGTATTTAAATTTACTTTGTGGGTGATATGAAGTCTTTTATGAATGAAGTGGTATATTTTAATTGGTTAACAAAAGGATCAAGTTGTGATGGTTCTTCTGATTTCCGCTATCTCCCTCGCACGTATAACGACGGACGTAATTTATTGATTTAATCACTTAAACAAAACAAAAAAAAAAAAAAAGAAAAAAAAACATATTCAATCATTTTTCCATGAAATTCATCAATTTCAGTTCAATTAAGTTCAATAAAACGTTATTACCTCACAACGGAGTAACTCATTTAACCTTGACAGTAAAACAACAGAAATTCACAAAAGGCCTGCGCAGTACGGTAATTCCTCAGTTAAAAATTGGTTTAAAACTTTAGGTTAAAAATAATTATTACACTAAAACTTTATAAAATATAATTGCTGTTGGACAAATGACTTAACATAACTGTTAGTTTTAATTTTACGTTGTAATATGCGATCGCTTCTATTACTTTTCACAAATTTGGTTTCGGGTTTGATGGGTCGCGTCTGAGTGCTGCATTAAATTTGGATTGTGGACTAAAATAGTGGCGGAACGATGAATAACAACCTGAATATAAAAAAATAAGAATGTTTGTTCAAACTTGTTTCTTGAATTGTGTTATCGCTTCCTGCAGTTACAAAGCGCGCTGTTAGACACTCTCCACATTAAGTTAAAACAAATCCCTACGAGTAGAGCTTGCAAAGAACCAAAGCAAAACCCACACCTTATTCTTCTAGTGTTATTTCTCTGTCATTCAATTAATTTTATTATATTGTATGAGTATATGGCTTTCTATATCAACTGACGAAAATGTTAATTATGGAAAACAGAAAAAAATGTTTTATGAGTAAAAGTTATTTGAGGGCATTTATAAAAGTAGTACTGTTAATTATACAAGACGAGTGTTGCCGTGGCAAGAAAAAAAAAATAACCGCAAACCGTTGCAGATACACCATTATGAACTTTATCTAATCAGAATTTTAGACTATTGCTCATTGACATTATAGTTTCTATTTCTCTTCCCCCTTCTTTTTTTAATTATTCTTTGTTACAACATAAATACCACCATAAGCTCAAATAATCATATTATTGGCAATAAAGTAAGACATATCTTTTACTGCAATTACGCCGGCCATTGTAAGGCAAACCCAATAAAATGAAATTTGTGCATGCAGCGCCTAGCGACGGTGAAAATCGCCTGGCAACGTGCAATGATTGCCGTAGCGGTTGTGCAGGCCTCTTGTTAAAGAGATTTGCCCGCTTACTGCGATGTCAATAGCATGATTGGCTACATCCCAACTGCTTCAACTTTATACATTTTAACCCTAGGTTGAAATATGTGTTTGCGGATGCTGAATAATATCCTCGGTTTTCTGAATCACCGAACACACAATGTTAATGTGTTTATTCCTAGGTCCAAATTTGCATGGAAAGGAACCCAAGGAAATCATCACGATTCTTTCTTCATATAATTTGTAAGGAGTGTGTATCCATTATGCAATTAATGGACCTCCGCAGTCAATCATTATTTGAGAATTTAATTATTAAAATTTGTATTGAATTATTTATAGTCTTGTTTGCGTTACTTTCCAAAATCCACAAATTATTTAGTCAGAATGTGCGTATACCCACGCATGGGTTGACACATATAGCTTGAAAATATGGCAGCTACGCATAATTTACATCGTGAGAAGTTAAAATATATAGAAATTCTGACTTTTGAGTTAAATGATCCAAAAAATCACCCGATACGCATACAGTTACCTGTTAAGAGACAATGTAACTCACAGGAAGTTACGTCGTCTGCTATCAAAGAATGGCCCTACACACAGCACACGTGTGTTACTGTTAAATGTATGAGACATGTAAACATGTAACACCAAAGTAGTTACAATAGTTGCCGGGGATCTACTCCCTGGAGACCTATACCAAAAAACGACATTTTTTCCTAGGTTATTCCTAGGTTATTAAAATTGCTAGTGTTAACTCCACCCAGGTCTGGTTTATACTGCGCCGGCCATAGGTCCTGGCCATCGTTCGAGAATAACGATGTCGAATGTGAACTTTTGGGTCTTAAAACAAAAGAAAACTGGGAAAAGAAGCCTTTAGGCCCAGTACTTCAGGAATATTGAATACCTAGAGAGTGCGAAAGTGCAGGTAGGGCCTAGGCTAGCTTACTAGCCCAGGCCTACCTAGGCCAATGTGCCAATATGATACGAGTCAACTGTCTTATACCATGGAGGTATACCTCCATGAGATACGGTATATTTGTAAGTTTACATACCTTTTTCACACGATAATAGCTTAATGTAGATCTGGACTAAATTATTCAGACAAAAACCGGTAAAAAAAATAGCTTTTATTATCTGTTATAAGCCTATCCTTCTGACTCGTGGTCAGCCGTCACGTTTTCTCGCCTTGGCCCACCCTCTACGGCGGTTGCTCTTTTGCTCTCTGGTTGCCGGACCAATATTATTTGGTGTGACATGGTCACATGTCTCATACATTTAACAGTAACACACGTGTGCTGTGTGTAGGGCCATTCTTTGATAGCAGACGACGTAACTTCCTGTGAGTTACATTGTCTCGTAACAAGTAACTGTATGCGTATCGGGTGAAAAAATACATGGCATGAAAATGTGAATTGTTGGCTTATTGTCATTTGCGTTCACCCAGGGCACGTAACAGTGATACTGTTCTTGCTATCGGGGCCAGACTCAATTTGAAGTAATGACCATCGTGGTTACTTGTTTTTTAAATTAATAATTGTGTGTCTGTCTATTTGCCGTGCTGTGTCCTTCCTGGCTCATTACTCAAAAACTACGTCTGGCCCAATTATTTCAGATTTTCACACAATGGCAATGTTACATGTATCTCGATTCTCCTTAAATTTGGTGCTGATCGGAAGTAAGGTGCGGATTTTAGAGGTGGTACAACCAATAAAACTAATCGCTCGACCGAGTTTGGCTAGGCCGAGCCGACACGAACGGACCGACCGACCGCGAGAACGCGAGCGGATCGACCGTGGGCTTGTGAACTGGAAGTGGTCCGGACGGCGTGCAATATTGACCGATACGATAGATGGGTTTGTCATGCGAGGCCGATATACTATGCCTTCGAGCGAATGGAGCGAATCGAATATATACATTGATTTGGCGCAATGGGGCGCGAGTTTGTAATTTTAGATTATTTTTTTGTGTATATTGTTATTATTGTAAAATGATTTTATATTCCTGTTTTGTGTTTCCATTTATCTTGTAATTGAATTGGAATTGAAATTTTGCCTGGGTTATACCTAGTCCGTTAATCAGACTGCAATTCTGGTCTTTTTAAATGTTTTCTTTCGCATTTTACATTAAATATCAATAAAGAATATTCGAATCAAAATATTCTGAATAACAATAAGAAATGCATATAAAAATAACATACCAGTTTCAGATAGTAACTTCCAAAGCCATTAATATAATAAGAATAGGCCCTATTTCGGGGTTTTTTTTAATCCTTATATTGCGTTTTCTGTACCTTAAGAGTGGCATATTCAAATAAAAACAAATTTATCTCTGTTCTATTTTCTCTATGATCTTACCTACTGATTGAATATAATCATAAACGTGTAAATATCACTACATAATCATAAAACACGTCAGCTAAAAATTGTATTTCGGCACCAATTCCACTTGCCCATATCATAAATATTTACTTTATATAGTCCTGTTTTAAAGAACAGCATATTCAGCAACGAGATTATTATCTAGTTTTTTTCTAATATAATTTATAGTGTATATATGTGTGAATATGTTTCTGGTCACTTTCTATAGGAATAACAACTATATATAATTTAATGTGATAATTTCATACGTAATTTAGATTTCAAGAATTCCCAGAACTGTTCTATGTTTATGATAAATATATTTTAAGGTTTATACATCAGAAGTTTGGACGTAAATGTAAAATTTCTATAAATACTTATTGAATTTCCGAAATCCGGGTTCTCTAACTTCAGATTTAATCTCTAATGTATTAACATGATGATCGCTGATAATAGACCTACTTGGCACAATATTACATTTGCGAACTTTCGTTATAGTGGGAAATGAATCAGTAATTTCTAGCCGATGATCACTCGTGATTATTTTTGACGATGTATGCCCGACCATTTTTTAGGTTTTGTAAACTAAAAATATCGATTAAGTCTAATTGTTTAAATCAACAAAATTAGGTACGCGTCTAAACGGGGTTTTTTTTAAAACATTTTTTAAATATTTTATTTAATTTCACCCCGAACAGCGAAAACGCCAATAAAAGGGAGCATATAGTAAATATAATATAAATCACAGCGACAAAACCGATAAAATCACAAAGAAACATTCAAAAATATTATAAGCAGTACAAAAATATTAAGATAAAATTAATTTAAAATAGTTACTACATGGGGAACATTATAAGAAAGTTCAGTAAAATTCAATTCCAAGAGCAGGTGAATGATCAAATGGCAAGTTTAAATTGTGCTAAAAATAAATGAAGAGGTTGATGAAAAATATCAATTGATGGCTCATTGTTTGTATAACAGAATTATAGAAAGAGGTAAGTCTACGTAATCAAGAAAACACAGGGGAACTCTATAATGTACCCTTCATCAATTTAATTTTTGCATATTTGAACCAATTTGCATATTTCGGAATACCATAACCTTGATGTTTTACACGTGTTGATTAAAATAAAGACAGTGTTGACAGTAATCTGTTAGTACAGTAAATAAATAAATAAATAATGAAAGAAATGTAAAACAAATTTTACAGGGGTTATCTGATAGTGTCACCGGATTCCATACGGCCTGGATTACCATTTGTGGTCAGCGTAAACATTGAAGCTACACAACCGTTCGTCTTAAAAGTCTGGATAACGAGAAACTTTGTTAAGCTAGCGGAGTCTGTAAACGCCTACGAAAATGGCGTCGCTGACACAATTGAATTTCAGGTATATTTTGTAAAAATTAAAAAAAATACTGTCTGTGTGTGTCATGAGCTTAAAAAATTTGAAAAATCCAATTCAATATTTGGATTACCTAATTTGTATATTCAAGTAAAATTTAAAAAAAATGATTGTCGAGTAATTAACACGATTTTTTTAGTAATATGTCTGTAAATCTGTATAATTTAGTTTTTACTTAGGTTTGGATTAATAACTTTTTTATCCTTATAAATGAGCTATTCAAAAATTTAATTGGATTTTTTAGGTTTATCCATCATTAGTAAATTTCCCGCACGATTAAAATCGAAATTCGTGCTTCTTACAGGTCATTCAATTCATAGAAGAAGCCTTTTACTGGTGAAGGCGTACCTATTAGCCAGGTCAATATATTAACACCGGCTTTAAACAATAAAAATTCATTACAAATTTATTACAGTCAATATTGAAATATTCAAACAGTTAATGTTATGTAATCAATAGTCAGTTCTTGCAGTATCACTAAATCAAACGAGAGACGAATTACGTTTGTGTTTTGCGCCGCATTGAACTTTTCATAGATAATTTTTTTCTTTGCTTACATTGATTCGTTCATAATATAAACAAATCTTATTTAAAAATGTATTTTCTGTTAAGGTGCCGGAGAATGCAGACAATGGCCTCTACATGATATATGCAGTAGCATCAGGTGGAATTCGGTTTTATAAAGAAAATACCTTAAAATTCATTTCTAAGGGATTTTCAATCTACATCCAGACAGATAAAGCCATTTATAAGCCAGGACAAACAAGTATGCAAGTTTTGTTAATTCAGTATTTTTATGTATTCTGGACATGAATGAAAGAAAAAAATTAACGAACGAACGAACAATCGATCGAATGAATGCGTCCCAATTGAGTAGCGACTGATAGTTTAAGAATCGCAATACAAGATACAATTATACAAGAAGCTTATTCCATTTGTCCTAATACTAATTCTCGAAACCAAGAAGGCTAGTCTGTAGTTTACATGTGTTACATTAAAATAATAAAATAATTTACAAGAGAACACAGTTATTCTTGAAATTAACTAAAATCTAAAGTATTTTGGTCTTCAACGAATAACTTAAATAAAAACAACAATACTGTAATATGTACCGTTGATCAGAGAATGAGAGGGATTGACTCATGTGTGTTTTTATTATTTTTCGAAGTGGTTCAGCGAAGTGAGAACGATTACTTTTTTGATGTTTATATACAAGTACATATGAAAATGATGTTTTGTTTCTATCTCATTCAGTTAACTACAGAATATTTGCTGTCAATCCTGACTTGTCCCAGCGCAAGGTAAATTTTGACATCGAAATCAAGGTATGCTAGTTCCAAAGACTTATATAAATGTACTTTATTGACAAAGAAAAACCCCCACAGCAACAACACACTGGAAATATGCCTTTGTTTTGGTCGTTCCCACCCTTTTCCCGCCAATGGAACCATGCCTTTGTGTGGGCGCTCCCGACCTTTCTCTCAGTGAACATTGGCTTTTGTTTTAGCCTTTCAGTCTCCTTATTGGTCAGTTTACTATTTTCCCAACAAGCAGCAAGCTTCTCTACCGAAACATATAAGTATTTCCCTGCATGGAATTACTGCAGATATTATTCTCCTGAAGACGATTGAAGCAACTCAATCGAAACGTGAAGACTTTCTCAACTACTTTTCAGAACTACCTACGTGGTGTACCGCAAACATCAACATAATTATGTGTAACAAAAATAATAACAGTAAAAATAATGATGAATATAATAAATGATAATGATGATGATTCTTAATTACTATGATAATTCTAACAGTAATATTTATCGCTACGGTATATTTTAGTATCTATTTCATCTAGTTTTCAATATGACTGCACTCTGGTTTATGTGGATAATGATGTATAGTATTATTTTAAAAACATAGGATCCACTTGGAAATTTGATTAAGCAATGGAATAACCTCAAAGCGCCCTCATCTGGTGTAGTAATAGAAGAATTATTGATGACAACGCAGCCTGTTCTTGGAGACTGGAATATTACTGCTACTTCAGGGGTAAATCTTTAACTCAATTAGTAGTATGATAAACAATGTAAAAGACTATAAACACAATAATAGAATATCATAATGTATAATAAATATTAGATAAACTTTTTTTTTCTTCATTTTCAGCATATCTACTGTACACTTAGTTATCTTAAAAGTTATTCTCAAATATTCCGAATTCTCTTACAGAAAATCCTTTGTCTTTTGTTACACTTTACATTAAAAAATATCCTCCTCATTTCATTTGCAGCATGTGTCTGTAGTTCAAGTTTTCACTGTTGCTGAGTACGTCCTCCCAAAGTTTGAGGTGACGATAACATTGCCTTCATTCATCACCAGCGATAACACTGAACTACAGGGAAGAGTTGATGCCAAGTAAGTTAACACACTCAAACACAGACACCACCCCTCTTACTAAATTGTTTTTAAGTGCGTTTGAAATCTGAAATAATGCGCTATAAAGTCCCACTATATTACAATTAACAATTAGACCTCTCCTTCAACAAATTATATAATATAGGCTATTTTGAGGTTTGTTAATCTAAACGATTCTTTCTGATTTTCTGTTGAGCCTGATTATACATTAACATATTGGATAATTTATGTGTTTTTCCCTATACATCATATTACCGTGCCTGTGTTTGTATTGTTTTTGACACTGAATGATTTAAACTGTCTTGTACTTCAAATTATAGATTTTTTTTCTTATGATTGGCTTATAGGCCTAACTTAATCCTAACAATTGTTTTTATGTATTCTGTAATTCTTTATTTTCTATGTTTATACTGTGTAAACTTGAATGTTTTTGTTTCTCAATCCCATGGGCGAGGCCATTGGGGTGGGGAGATGGGTGTATGTAGATCCCGCAAATGTAAAAATGTAACACATATGTGAAAATAATCACAGATGTAAAACATTGTACCCACAAATGTTATAATAACCGCAAATGTCATAACATGTCAACCACAATAAATCTCGAATGTTGTGCGTACAATAATAATTTAAAGATAAAAATAAAAAACGTTTCGTTACAATCATTTGATTTGATTTGATTTATTAGGTACTCGAGATAACAATACACGAGAAACAAAGACAAAAGAGCACCAGGATTACCCATTAAGCCGACGATAGTCATGCTCATTTTCAATGGGGTCCTTATGAAACAATAAAAAATACAATAAGACACACATAAAAGATAGAAATAGATATTCAAAATAATAAAAAAGAACAGGCAAACAGGTA